CCTGAGCACCTCTGGGTGTGGCTCCAAAACAAACAAGCAAGCAAAGACATTAAGGGAGGGGAGGGAAGGGGAGGGGAGGGGAGGGGGAGGAGGGAGGAAGGAAGGAAGGAAGGAAGGAAGGAAGGAAGGAAGGAAGGAAGGAAGGAAGGAAGAGACGGAGTGAGGGAGGGAAAGTTTAATGTGTCATAGCCTAAGCGCTGGAAAAGTGTCTTCTCCTCCCTTGAGGCCACGTTTTAAGACTTGAGAGGTCCCCCAGTTTAGGTGGTCTACAGTCCTCCTGGAAATCTACCCATGGTGGGTGGGGGCATAGGCAGGAGGGGCGGTGGGGACAGTTGGGCAACACCTGGCATACTCAAGGCTTTCTCCTGGCTCTGCTCTCATTCGAACCCAGGCACCCTACCCACTATACTATCAGTCTGGCCCCGGAAATCTGCCTTGCTTTTAAGCAAACAGGAGTCTCTCCCAATTGCACCCAGGCTCCACTTGCCCCCTCCCATTGTTTGAGCACCCCCCTAGGGTGATATCACTCCTTTGGGGAAACACCTAGTTAACCAGTCATCAAAGAGGGATCTGCAGAGCGGGTGGCTCCCAGACTAGGTGGAATCTTCAGGACCCGGGAGACTGTGTCTCAGGAGAGGGGAGGGGGTTTGGTTGAGGTCTGCAGGGAGAGTCTGGGGGGATGGTGGCGGTTGCCCAACACTCGGGCTGCTGAACTCTCTGCTCGAGCATGGTGAGGTTTGGGTTGGTGTCCTCAGCAGTGCCAAGCCGAAACAAAAAGATTAAGATGATAAATGTGAGTAGCACTGTAGCACTGTCCTCCCGTTGCTCATTGATTTGCTCTAGCGGGCCCAGTGACATCTCCACTGTGAGACTTGTTGTTACTGTTTTTGGCATCTCGAATACGTCACTTGTAGCTTGCCAGGCTCTGCCCTGCCAGCGAGATACTCTCGGTTGCTTGTCAGGCTCTCAGAGAGGGGCAAAGGAATCGAACCCTGGCTGGCCGGGTTGGCTGCGTGCAAGGCAAATGCCCTACCCGCTGTGCTATCCCTCTGAAGATCCACAAATAAGCTATTTTTGTTGTTTGCTTCATACCACACCCAGGAGTGTGCTGGCTGATGTTCTTGGGGACCAGAGACAGCGCCCAGGGTGGAACACAGCCCAGCAGCATCCGAGGCAGGCGCCCTAAGCCCTTTCTCCCATCTTCCCAGCCTCCAGTTGAAACTGTTGACTCAAACCCAGTCATGTCTTTTTGCTAAAGAGAGTGAAGGGAGGCGAATTTGGTAGCAGACTGAAAGGCAAAAGTATGGAATCATCGAGAAAAAAATGAGAGGTTGATTACTGCCCTTGCTTGGTTGGCGCTTCTCAGGCCGTGCAGGGGAGACTGTGTTTCTGCATCAGGTGCCCCTTATGGCCTAGTGGGGTCCTGCCTGCCTGTCATTCCCGGGTGTTCACACAGACAAAGGGACAGGGGCTGGCGGGGAGCCAAGGTGACTGCCTCAGCACTGTCCCCAGCGAGTCTCCGGGGAGCCCCACACAGCACCCCATTGTTTGCAGAGGACTGAGATAAGCTCAATTACCTGGTCGGTGATGACCCTCTGCAAAGGACCTTCCTGAGGCTTCTAGAAGGCTCTAGATGGATCCAGTGTGATTCCCTGAGGAAGGAGACACACAGTGCTGAGGGACAGTTGGGACAGTTCTCTCAGGGTCCTGCTATTTGGTTTTGATGGTGACCAGCACCCCCCAGGGTGATATCACTCATTTGGGGAGACACTTATATCTGCAGCCTGTCACAGAGACTGTGGTGTCCGTGGTCCAAGTTGTGTCCTGCACTGGGAGGACATGATCTCTCCAGCATCCCAGAGGGGTGACTTGGGGGTCACTAGGGATTTTGAAGCCTGGCCCAGGGGTGGGGTTAGGGGCTGTCCCCTTTTTGTTGGAAGCTCCCCTCTGGGAGTATCGGGGGTGGGGCACGGGACTCTGGCTCCTATAATCTGCTCCTAGAATCTCAGCCGTAGTGAAACCCTCTGAAACGGGGGTCACAGGGAGCCTCTCTCCGAGGTTTCCGTATCCCGTAGGAATAGCAGGCGATGCCCCCCTCACCTGCCCTATGCTACACTGGCTAGCATGGTGCGTCAGGGAGCCAGGGGTGAGTGTGGGACTGGGGGAGTAACCATAATGAAAGGGAGAAATATTTGAAAGCCAAGGGCGAGGCAATGAAAGACTTAGGTCAGGTCGAACGCCTCACCCAGACACCTGACCTTGTGGGTTTTCGATTCCTGGGTTGTGGTGAACACGATTTTCTGTCCTCGCCAACGTGGATTCCTCTCTGGGTGCAGGTTTGCCCCTTAAAGGCCTGGTTTCACTCTCTCCCTCCCTCCTGCTGCCCCTCGCCAGGATTCCTGGAACTGGAGTTTGCTGGAGAGTTTACTTTATGGTTGGCAGGTGATTGTGTTAACAAGAAGTCAACCCTTAGGATAGTAAATAATATGATTGTTTAAGATAAGTCTTCAAAAGAAGGCAGCCCTTGGCTTGTAAAATTTAACCTCAGAGCCAGGCAGAGCCTTCCCTTCCTTCACTTCAGTCTGGGCTCCCGCTCATAAAAGTCCAAGCAGGAATTTCATGGAAACCAAGTGGATCACAAACCCGCAGAAGGCAGGGCTCCTTTTGCCAAACACCCAGAGGAAGGAGGAGCAGCTTAAATTTTTTTGTTTGTTTGTTTGTTTGTTTTTGTTTTTTGGGTCACACCCAGTTATGCACAGGTGTTACTCCTAGCTCATGCACTCAGGAATTACACCTGGTGGTGCTCGGGGACCATATGGGATGCTGGGAATCGAACCCAGGTCAGCTGCTTGCAAGGCAAACACTCTACCTGATACTATCACTCCAGCCCCCAGGGGGAAGAGCAGCTTAAAGGCGTTTTTTTTTTTTTTCTCTCCAGGACTCCTCCAAAGGAGAGATAAGTGATTTGTCTCCCCAGCTTCCTATAGGGTCTAATCTGTGGTTTGATAAACACTTTTGCCTGGTCTGGGAGAGAGAACTTCAGGGGCTAGAACTCAGGATTTGCACCCAGGAGTCTTGGTTTGATACCCAGAATGGCATGGTCCCCCAAATATCCCTGAGAGTGGGCCTGGGAGCAGCCCCTGAACCCAGTCGGTATTACCCAAAACAAACTAGATCTGATTATATAAGTGTATCATTCAAGAGTGTTTGGGGGGATGCTGATATTTTAATATTCATAAAATAATATTCATTCATTTCATTTCATTTCATCATCCTGTTAATCGTCGATTGCCTCGAGCAGGCCCCAGTAACGTCTCTTTCATCCTAGCCCTGAGATTATATTCACGGCTCTTTAGGAGAATGAGACCCATCATTGTTACTGGTATTTGGCATATTTGGTACGCCATGGGGAGTTTGCCAGACTCTGCCCTGTGGGCAGGCTACATTCGATAGCCTGCAAGTTTGTCCAAAGTAGGAATGAGATAATAAGATGTCATTTAAAAAAAGTTCTGATAAGATGTTGCGCGGCCGCAAATGCGGCCGCGCGGTTCCGGGATCTGGATTTTATAGTCTCTGAGTCTTGGCCGCTGATGGGATTACACGGCGCCAGGGGGCCAGGTGGTGGGTGTATAATAATATTAGGCATTGAAAACCAGATTTGTATTTGGGGAATCATTCTCTTAAAAATTAGTGTTATGGGGCTGGAGCAATAGCACAGCAGGTAGGGCATTTGCTTTGTACATGGCCAACCTGGTTTTGATTCCCAGCATCCCATATGGTCCCCCAAGCACCACCAGGAGTAATTCCTGAGTGCATGAGCCAAGAGTGATCCCTGTGCAACACTGGGTGTGACCCAAAAAAGAAAAAAAAAATTAGTGTTATGGGGCATAGAAACAGTCCATTATTTTGAAAAGAATGACAGGGGTTGGAGCAAAAGCACAGTGGGTAGGGCATTTGCCTTGCACCTGGCTGACCCGGGTTTGATTCTCAGCATCCCATATGGTCCCCTGAGCACCGCCAGGAGTAATTTTTGAGTGCATGAGCCAGGGTATAACCCTGTTGCATCACCGGGTTTGACCCAAAAACAAAAAACAAACAAACAAACAAAAAAGAATGACACAGCTAAATCCTCCCAGAAGAGGATTTGAGCTGAGAACCCTGGGCCCTTCTTGGAATGGGGGCAGGCGGACTCCTCTTCCTGCCTGGAAGCCCAGGAGCCCTCACCCACCCGGGTACCCTCTGGCCTAGAAATGGTCCAGCTCCACCACTGAACCTCATGGAGCCGCAAGCCACCAAATCATTCCAGTTGCATAGCTCCTGGAGTGTGCAGCCGCATGTACAGCCAGATTTTATGGTACTGTCAGCCCAGTAGGGACATAGCAATGTGATGGGAAAATTGCATAGAAGACCACCAAGCTCAGTGTATAAAAAAAACACACAAGCCTCAACCAGCACCAACCAGCTCAGCAAATCTTCACCATCATGAGATAAAGCAATTATCACAAATTGACTTTCATTGATACATTTTTTTATAATTCCATTTGCCTTTTGTTGTAACGAGCATTATGAAGTAAGTTTGTTTGCGCCTGCTAAGGGAGCAGACTTTTGTGGTGGGTGGAAAACTGGGGACACTGGTGAAAGGAAGGTGACGCTTATGACAGGATTGACATTGGAATATTGAATGTCTGAAGCAACTGTATTATGAACAGTTCTGTAAACCACAGTATTATAAGAAGAAATAAATGAGTGTTTGGGGTCCAGAGAGATAGTACAATGGATAAACCACTTGCCTTGTACTCAGTTGACCTGGGTTCAATCCCTGGTACCACATACGGTTCCTCAAGCCCTGCCAGGAGTTATCCCTGAGCACAAAGCCCTGGGCACACCTGAGTGCATCCCACCCACCCACCCTATTCCACATGAGTGCTGTGTTTTTATAGCTTTCACTCTCATCCTCCCTCCAGTTCCTTATTTCAACTTTATCATCTTTTTTTTTCCAGATTACCATCTTGGATGCAAAACGGAGCATGAACATTGGGATATTTCTCAAGCAATTTAAGAAGTAAGATGTTTACCTGCTTCTGAAACATTAGTCATAGTCTGCTGTCATCAAGGCAGTCTGTGAGCTTGGCCCTGCAGAGATGCAGAAGCTGAGAGGAGAGAAAGTTGCTCTCAGCCCTGCAGGGCCTTCTTAGAGCTCTGATGAGTCTGCCAGTCTCTATTCCTTCCTGCTTCCCCTTCCTCAGTGGCTGGAGGAACTGGGAGCCTTGCCTGGGGTGGCTGTTCAAGTTGGCTGTCATGTAGATGTATCCTTTTGTGTGGCCCCTGAGTTAAACTTGAGTGTTTTATTTTTTTAATGTGGGGGAGCAGTAGTGGGCCACACCCAGCTGTGCTCAGGGCTTATCCTGGCTCTGTGCACAGGGATCAGGCTGATAATGCCTGAGGAACCATATGGGGTGCCAGGGATAAGGTGGGGGTCCACGGAGTCAGTTGCACTCTCTCTGCGACTCCTAAACTCGAGTGTTGCAAGGAGAGTATTCTGCAGGGATTCTAGTGAGATCGAGAGATTCTTCCCTTCTCTTAAAGGAGACTCCCAGTGATGTGCCTCTTTGAGCCTTTTGGGGTGCTCCAGGATGTCTTTCAGGGACCTCCAGTGGGAAGTCAGGGTCCCCCTTCCCGTGGCCGTGGGAGTTGTGAGAGTGCCTGGGATGGAGAGAGGTGACTCTGTGCCCTCAAACCCGCCTCTGTGCCGTTCAGGTCTCCCCAGTCCATTGTAGAAGACATCCATGAAGGAAAGAGTGAGCATTATGGAGCAGAGACCCTGAGAGAAATCCTTAAGCTTTTGCCAGAGTCGGAGGAGGTAAGGAGTCTGGGTGTGTGGAGATGAGGGGGGCTGGTCAATGCGTCATGCTCTGGGGGCATCAAAATCCACATGGGACAGGCCCGCTCTGACCTGCATCCTGAGTTTTCACACATCAAAGGAGCACATGACCCAGTCCAAAGAGATGGAGACGCAGGTGGGAGCTGTGTCCTTCCCTGAGGAACTGAGAGTGCTTCTTAACTCAGTGAACGTTCCCGGTAAAGGGAAGATAAAGATGCTGATGTCATTGGCTTGTTGAGGGGATTAAGCCAGTTACGCACCTAGCATGGTACTTGACATATGACACTCAGTACCTCTTGCTGGCTGTGTCTGTCACCAAACCCTGATCCTTGCTTTGGGAAACCCAGATTATTGTATAATACAGGTATTTTTGGTTTGGTTTGATATGGTTTGGGGGCTGTACCTGACTGTGCTCAGACTTTCCTCCCGGCTTCCCCCAGACTTTCCTCCCTGCACTCAGGGATAATTCTCAGCAGTGCTCAGGGGACCAGATGGGGGTGTCAGGGATTGGGAACCGGAGTTGGCTGAGTGAAAGGCAAACACCTACCCTGCTGTACTATCTCTCCAGTCCCCCAGATAGCACTGTAGCACTGTACTCCAGTTGTTCATCGATTTGCTCGAGCGGGCACCAGTAACATCTTACAACAAATTGTGAGACTTGCTGTTACTGTTTTTGGCATATTGAATACGTCACGGGGAGTGTGTTAGGCTTTGCGGTGCGGGCAGGATACTCTCGGTAGCTTGCCAGGCTCTCTGAGAGGGATGGAGGAATCGAACCCGGGTCAGCTGTGGTCATAGCAAACACCCTACCCGCTGTGCTATCGCTCCAGCCCGGGCCTTAAGAGATCAATAAGAGATCAACAAATTTTTCTATCTACGCCCCCCCCCCCCACACCAAACTGTGCTTTTTTGCCAAAACACAAAGAAAAGAATCAACTCAACTGGAAAAGGGATTGTGTCCTAATATAGAAATAGTTCTTAAATGTTGATTAAAAAAAAACAACAACAACAAAATACAGACACAGAACAATAGCCGTTTACAGAATTTTTTTAAAGAGTAAAACAACCACTTTGGCCTAAACTTGAAGAGATGGGCAAGAGGCTAACAAAGGCAATTAATGGAATAGACTCAAGCACCTCAAATTGCCGTGATGATAATATGGTCTCACAAAGTAGTATATATGCCTTTTTTTTTTCTGACCAAACTTTAATTCTTTGCTGTTTTGGGTCACACCCGGCAATGCACAGGGGTTACTCCTGGCTCAGGACTTACTCCTGGCAGTGCTGGGGGACCATATGGGATGCTGGGACTCAAACCTGGGTTGGCTGCTTATAAGGCAAATGCCCTACCTGCTGTGCTATTGCTCCAGCCCCTCTGAAAGAATTTTTGAATTGTTAAGAATGTGATAGGGAATTGATTGGGGGGAAAATTAGGGAAAATATTACAAAAGTTCCCAAAGTGTGATATTGTTTTCTATGTCTGATATGATCCTGGTGAAATTTCAGTAGGAAGTTGCATGAATATTTGTGACTTTAATGTCTGAGTGTTTTAGAAAAGAGTAGAAGTTACCCTTTCTCTGCCAAGTGCCCATTCTCCCACCCCACCCCATGCTTCATCCCAGTCTAACTGCTGCATCGTGACTTCTGTTCCTTGCTCACAGTTGGCAAGGAACATACAGTGCCAATCCGAATGTCCCAGAGGTTCACCAGTTAATCCCGGTCTCTCTCCTAACCCACCTTGCTCTCGACCTCAGCTTTCCTCTTTGCATATTGGTGTCACTTAGTGCTTATATCCCCTGGGCTAGGTAAACAACACCAAATAAGCGGAAGAGAACCCAGAGCCAGGTAAGCGACATCAATTAATTGGTAGCACTTACTAATTTTAGTAAAGGATCTCAAAGAGATGAGGGAGGGATGCAAAATCAGAATTTGCCCTGAGTCTTATCCACTGAACAGTCCTCAATCTTCCTTTCCGGCAAAGCGTGGCTATTCAGTGGGCAAAGAGACAGTACAGGGGTTGAGGCACTTCCCTTGCCCATGACTGACCCTGAGTCGATCCCCAGGACCATATATGGTTCCCTAAGCACGTCCAGGAATGGAGGCGCCTCCCGGGTCTAACTGCTTCAGAGCACAGAGGCAGGAGTAAGCCCTGAGCACTACTATGACCTCCCAAAACAAACCCCAGGAAGTAAATGAGCATCCCCAACCTCATTTGGGTGGAGAGTGTGTCCTTTGAATGTCAGGGCTAACACCTGACTCTGGGCTGTGGACTTGCAGCTGGCAGTGCTCAGGGAATCATTTGGTGCTGGGAAGTCAAAATCTCTCCAATTCTACGTAATTTGAATTTTTTAAAAATTGGGGGACCCAGGATCCACTGGATGTGGCTCACGTGGCAGAGCATGTGGCTGGCTATATGAGGCCATTGGTCTGACCACACAACCCCTCACGCACTGTGGGGGTGCCCTTCCAGGCCTCCCAATGATTTGATTGTTCTAGGAATCAAATCCTGCTTGAACTTTGGACTTGGCTCCATCTGGCTGCTCTGTTTTCCACTCTCCACTGGCCTGCTGTTTTTTTTTTTTTTTAATTTGTATTAGTGAAACACCATGGGGTACAGTTGCAGACTTACAATTTGTGTGCTTGGGTTTAAGTTATACAATGATCGAGTACCCATCCCTCCACCAGTGCCCATTCTCCACCACCACTGATCCCAGTATCCCTCCCACCCCCCATCTCCCCCCATCCCACCTTTCCTCTGTGGCAGGGCATTCCCTTTTGTTCTCTCTCTCCTTTGGGGTGCTGTGGTTTGCAAAAGAGGCATTGAGTGGCAATCATGTTTGGTCTATAGTTTACTTTCAGCATGCATCTCCCATCCTGGGAGGATCCTCCCAACACCCTTTATTTGGTGCTCCCTTCTCTATCTGAGCTGCCTTTTTCCCTAGCGTGTGCGGCTGTCCTCAAAGCCATGGAGTAAACCTCCTGGTACTTATCTTGGCTATTCTTGGGTGTTAGTCTCCTATTTTGTTAAAGTAACATGTTCCCCAGATGAATGCAGTCTTTCTATATCTGTTCCTCTCTTTCTGACTCATTTCGCTTAGCATGATACTTTCCATGTAGTACCACTTGTATGTAAATTTCATGACTTCATCTTTTCTAACAGCTACATAGTACTCCATTGTGTAAATGTACCAAAGTTTCTCTAACCAGTCCTCTGTTCTCGGACACTCAGGTTTTTTCCAGATTCTGGCTATTTTAAACAGAGCTGCAATGAACAAACAAGTGCAGATGTGACTTCAACTATACTTTTGTGCCTCTCTGGGATATATTCCCAGGAGTGGTATTGCTGGGTCAAATGGGAGCTCAATTTCTAATTTTTTGAGAATCATCCATACTGTTTTCCAAAAGGGCTGAACCAGTCAGCATTCCCACCAGCAGTGAAGGAGGGTCCCTTTCTTGTCACATCCGTGCCAACACTGGTTGCTTTTGTTCTTTTGGAAGTGTGTCAGTCTCTGTGATGTGAAATGATATCTCATTGTTGTTTTGATCTGCAGCTCCCTGATGATTAATGATGTAGAGCATTTTCTCATGTGCCTTTTGCCTGCTGGGTTTTTAATTGAGAATCAAATTTGATCACGTGCCTGTCTGAGTTCAGGAAAGCGGAATTTCAGACTCTGCTACAGACAGGCAAGGGGGCAGGTGCTGCTGCCTGCCGGGAAGAGGCGGCAGATTCCGGAGACAGTTGCCTTGACTTCTTTGCTAATGTAGAACATCCAAAGGTGATTCAAGATGGCAGAGACTAAGGAAGACGGAGGGATCCTTCAAGGAGGCGGGATAGCTGTCAGAGGCTTGTTTTGGAAGAACTCAGTTGAATTTTGTAGGGGATAGAATTCTAAGGAAGAAAGGCAGGCTAAACAGGCCCGTGCACATCCATCTCTGCAGCATTCAGGGCCCAAGAAAGTACCCTGTTGTGCCAAAGGGGCCCCTTTGCAGCTGCTCCAGGGTCAGCCTCAGCTCCAGTCACTTGCTGCCTCCTTGTTACCAGTCCCGACTCTGAGCTTCAGTGCACCATGTCCCCCCAAACACAGCCCCTGGGCTTCCTTCAGCGAGAACCTCCAGAGTCTGTGCTGACTGAGGAAGCCACTCCAGACTCATATCCTGAAGGCAGAGAGAGAGTATAGCGGTTGGGGCACTGACTTTGCAGCCAAACTCGATTCCATCCCCAGCATGGTCCTCAGAGCCGGCCAGGAGTGTTCCCTGAGTGCAGAGCCAGGCACACGCGCACACACACACACACACACACACACACACACACTCGCGCGCGCGCGCGCGCGCGCGCGCACACACAAAGAAAAGACAAAAGACAAGAAAAGGACTGACATCCCTGCACAGACAAAACTGACTTTGTTCCTGGTCCTGTCTGGCCTTGGGCAACACCCAGACCTTGGAAAGTGGAGGGCTAAGAGAGCGAACTAGGAATGTGTAATAAGTAATCGTCATGAATAAATAATAAATACAGAAAGAGTATCGGTGGCCAGGGGTTTCCCAGCCCAGGTTGGATACTCCTTTTTAGCACAAGAAGAAACTGCTGGTATCACTTTGGCCTTGTGTTCCAGGCTCTTGGTCAAGGAAGTGGTCTTTCAGAATGGGCTCAAAACCTGGCATGAAACATCAGTAGATTCTAGCTAGGGTGTGTGTGTGTGTGTGTGTGTGTGTATAAGTGTGTGTGCACAAGCATACATGTGTACGTGTGTGCGTGTGTGTGCGCATGTATGTGTGTGATGCATGTGCATACGTGCATGTATATGTGTGTCTGCACTCACTTGTGTGTGCGTGCGCTCGTGTATATGTGTGTGTTTGTGTGGTGTGTGTGCGCACACACGCATGCATGGACTGAACCCACACAGCTCCCACAGAGAGCTTGTCTAGTGGTCCAGGAGAGCAGAGCAGAGGGGAGGTTTCAACCTGCTCTGCCCCTCCCCCAGCAGCGCCCTGTGGGCTGCCCCACCTCCTTTGGAGGAAGGAAGGGCAAAGGTTCTCAGAAGAGCCTCCCCCGCCCCGCCTTCCAGCACCTCTGATGTCAGTGTCCCGGGACCTGACCCGCCCCGCTGGAAACTGCGGAAACTCCTCTTTCCCGTGTGGGCAGAGGTTACTTGTCTGTGGCCGGCAACTGGTGCGCTAGGCTAGGCCCTGGTTCATCTTTCTGCTCGCATCCCAGAGGAAAAAGATAGTCTCAAAAATAAAAGCACTTCCAAGAGTGCTCTTTGTCCTAAAATTAACCCAGAAAGATAGGGGGAAGGAGAGATGAGAGGGAAGCCTTGTGGGCCAGGACAGGGAGCCCCCGGGCTGAGATCTTCCTTGGGGGTGGGGGGCGGGGGGGGGGTGGGGTACGGCAGTGCCTCCTCCCTCCCTGGGACGGGGACCCAGGGGAAGGTTCTGATCTCTCAGGACCGGGATGGAGAGCCCCCTATCTATCATCTATCCTGATTCTCACTTCCCATCCTGTTGGGCGGGAGGGACAGGGAAAGCCCAGGGGTTTCCTGGTCGTGTGTCTGCTGTGGAAGAATTGCTGTCCAGGGCTGTGTGAGTGGAATTACACAGGATCCCGAAGGCCTGTCTTTGGGAATGTAGGAATCTTTGGGAGGAAGCAGGGACTCGGGCTTTGTGTTCTGGGCTTATTCCTGGCTCTGTGCTTAGGGATTCAGGGGTCACTTCTGAGGAGGCTCAGAGCAGCCAGGGTTGGAACCAGGGTCAGCTTTATGCAAAAGCGAGTGCCTTCCAGGCTGTGCTATCTCTCCCGGCCCTGGGATGTTTCCAATCAGATTGTTGCTGTTGGAACAGACACAGGCCCAGCAGGGCCCTAACGAGTCTCCTGGAACAGTTCGCAAAATGCGGCCTGGTGCTTGAGAACTGCTTTCTGATGATGAGAATGTAGAATAATTACAGGGTTTGCTCACCTCTCTTTACCTCCCTACCACCATGAGGACCATAATCCCTCTTAATGAACATAAATCTCATTATGAAATGGAATTAAGAACGGTATACATGGCATTCAAGTTAAATCCTCTCCTCCCCCCCATCAGAATCTATAACTGTGTTTTGCTCATGATGTAAGTGAAGGGGATGAACTGGTGCTCAGTCACAGGTTAGTACATTGCACCAAAGTTGCACCCGAGTGGACTTAGCATGATCTGCTCTTTCACGCTTGGCACAAGCTGGTGCCGTCCAGAGTTTTGTACGTGTTTACAAGGATGGGCTTGCGGAAGGGGCAGCCCTGCTCTGCCCTGTCCACCTCTCGTGGGCTGCACAGATAGGACAGGGGGTTAAGGCACTTGAATTTCATGTGACTGACCCCAGTTTGCGTCCCCAGCACCACAGTTTGTCCCTTGAACATTGCTAGGGGTCACTCCTGAGCACAGAGTCAAGAGTAACCGCTGAATACCACCAAAGGTGATCTGAGCCATTCCTTCCCCAAAAAAACTCCAGAAATTCCATCTGCCATTATTTTAATCCAAGCTGAAAATGGTCAGTTCAATCCAGACCTCTAAAAGAGGGTGAAGTCATGCTATCTTGTGAATTGCTATTCTTTGCCCATTTTATTGAAAGTCTTTTCCTGTATTTTATATTTATGCAGTAAAAATATATATTATCCAGGGGGCTGGAGCTATAGCACAGCAGGTAGGGCATTTGCCTTGCATGCGGTCGACCCGGGTTCGATTCCCAGCATCCCTTAAGATCACCTGAGCACCGCCAGGAGTAATTCCCGAGTGCAGAGCCAGGAGTAACACCTATGCATCGATGGGTGCGACCCAAAAAGCAAATACATATATATACATATATATACATATATATATATATATATTCCAGTTTCACTGAGAATTAGTTGCCATTGTCCACTGCTGCCCCCCCCCAAAGGAATCTGAAAAACTGAACATGATATTAGGGTGAACCTTTGTGCAGTTCATAATTGGTGTCACTATTTGAGATTGTGGATCTTTGCAAATACCCCCTGCTTGGTTTTTGCAATGATAATCTCCTATATGTGAAGAGACTTTAGAAGTCAAGCTATTTTTGTGGGCCTCCAGTGTATTGAAAGAAAGAGAGGAAGCTTTAGAAAGAATCACAGAAAGTGGTTGATGCTTAGTGGACTCCAAGGTGGTCTGCTGTGCGGGTCAGTCCCCAGACCACTCGCTGCCCAGTGGATTTGACAGAACACTTCCTCTGGCTGCAGTCACAGGAGTTTTTGCTCAGCCTTCTGGAAAATGGCTGACTTGTTAGCTGAGAAACTTTGAAATATTTGCATAGCCTTCCTCCCAACCTGCGGGCTGTTTGGCCATAGTCCTCTTTCAGAACTTGGTTTTCTCTCCTTTTTTTACTGGGGGCGAGACGGCGGGTGTGTCTGGGTGATACCCAGTGGTGCTCAGGGACCATATACAGTGTCTGGTTTCAAACAGGGATGAACTGCTTGCAAGTAAGTACCTTTCCCTGTACTATTTCTCAGGTCCCTGTTTATCATTTGGGGGGGTTGGGGCCAGATTTGGCAGTGCTCAGGGCTCACTCCTAACTATGCTTGGGGGATCATCTGTGGTACCAGAATCAAATGAGGGTTGGTCAAAGCAGTCACATGTGAGGCAAGTGCCTTACCTCCTAGTCCATATCTCTGGCCCTCTCTGTATTAAAGTTCACTTGAGGGAACTTTATCTGTATGACAAATAACTTTGTTTTATAAGACTAATAATATTGGTCACTGTAGACATCCTGGTCAGTAAGAGTGGACAGTAGAGGAATATAACCATCCTCCCACTTCAGGGCTTTGGGGCCTTCCCAGTTTTCTTCTGTGTGTGTGTGTGTGTGTGTGTGTGTGTGTGTGTGTGTGTGTGTGTGTGGTATGAGCTTGGAGCCTTGGGCATCCAAGACACTTAAATACCTTTAGGAGGCCAGAGAGATAGTATGATGGGTAGGGTTTTTGCTCCCTGGCATCCCATATAGGTGGTCTCTCTGTATCCCCAGGAGTAATTTTTGAGCACAGAGCCAGGAGTAACCACTGATTTTGGGTGTGACCCAAAAATAGAACAAACAAACCCTTTATAGACACATGATCCCGGGATGCGGCTCAGTGATAAAGAGTGGGTTTTACTTGGATAAAGCCCTGGATTCAAGATCCAGCATGGCTAATAGTAACAATAATGATAATAATAATAATCAGATGATGAAGAAGAAGAGGTGTCTCACTGTACTTCCTCCTTCCTTACCTGTTTTGTGGGGAGGACACCTTGACCATTGGTTTTTGATGGTTCAGGCGTTTCCTTGTGCTCTGCAGTTGGAGAACCCGGCGTTTGCAATAGCCCTTCCTGCAAAGAGAACGGAGGGGACTTACCTGCAGGTTTTGTATTTGAGCTGGCCCAGAAGCATTGTTCTGACCCAGATACTCCAAGTTCGACCCATTTTCCTCTCAGAGTCTTCCCTGCCATCTTTTTTCTTCTTCAAATGATCTCACTCCCAGATGAAAACTCCCTGAACCTCCTTATCATGCATTCGACGGTCATCTCTCAGCTTCCTGAAGTCACTCCTCCCTGACAGGGGCCTGAGGAGTCCTGGCTCTCTGTTTCTATGGGAGTCTCGCAGCAGCTTTTCTCCTGAGGGGACTGGTGCTTCTTTTCAAGACAGGGCCTGTGAGGCTCCCCTATCCCACCTTTTTTCAGGGGGCCATTTTTACTGACTTGAACTTAGCCCTGAAATTCTCTTTCCTGAAAGGAATTTTTAAGATGAAATTTAAAATAATGTTACCTTGGAGTCCTAAAAATTTGTTTTTCTCTCTCTCTCATTTGTCTTTTAGATAAAGAAATTAAAATCCTTTGGCGGCGACGTGTCCAAGCTGTCCCTGGCAGACTCCTTTCTGCACTATTTAATTCAGGTGCCAAAGTAAGACTCGCTGGCCCTTGTCCTTCGCAGGGTTGGGCTGCCACTGTCAGGATAGCCGACACCACAGCGTCTCTTTGTTTTTCAGCTATTTACTTCGGATTGAAGCTATGGTGCTAAAGAAAGAATTTTTACCTTCTTGCTCTGCTCTGTACACAGATATCACAATCCTAAGAACTGCTACAAAAGGTAAGTTCACACCAGATTCTCTGTATCAGGGGTCTTTATGAATTTGGTAACCATTTCAACTATCCATTGAAATTACAGCTGGAAACTCCCAATTTGGGCACGCTCTCAGAGGGAAATGGAATTTGGCCAGGGCTGGCATTCCAGGTTTATTTCCTCTTACCTCACTCTAGCTCATTAATTATTGAGTTCATTGACCAGCCAATTAATGCGTATATTATCCTCCTGTGAAAGGTTTCAGACAGCTCATGCTTCAGAGTAAATCCACTGACTGTAGCTCATCCTTGTCCATCGCCTTGTGTCTATAGTGTATGTGGAGTCTCTGTGTGGTGTGGGTCGTGTTTGTGTGTGCCTCTTTGTGGTGTGAGTGCATAGTGAGTGTCCATGAATGGGGTGTGTGGGGAGTGATTGTGTGTGTGTATGTGTGTGTGTGTGTGTGTGTGGCATAGTATCTCTATGTGGTGTATCTGTAGAATTTGTATAGTGATTACCTGTGTGTGGGTAGAGGTGTGTGTATGTGTATGGTGTGGATAGTATGTGAGTATGCATAGTCTAGTGTGTGTGTGTGTGTGTGGTGTGTATGGGATATCTCAATAGTGTGTATGTGGGAGCATCTATGTGTGGTGCATGTGGGATATGTATATGTGTTTGTGTGTCTGTATTTGTATGTTTGTGCTTGTGTGTATATTTTGGGCTCTGGCCCCTGGGAATCCAGAACTGACTTTCTAGAAGACTACTAATGCCTGCCAGCACTCAGTGGCTCTCTTGTCTGCCTGGCTCCTCGTGCTTCTCCTCTGGTGTCTTCCCCTGGTCACTCCCCTCCAGACACACATCTGGTGGCTGCTTACCTTTAAGAGGACTAGTCGCTCCTTTACCTTCCTTCACTGTTTGCTCTTCCCTGTTTACTTGGGAGACCCTCCTCGGCCTCGCTCCCAGCTCTCACTCCCTCGGGCGGGAACCTTGCTGTCTGTGTGGCTGCCGAGAAGACAGGTGTGTGCATGTGTGTTTGTTTTCTTCATGCAGGCTGAGGGTTTTGGCGTTCCCTCACCCCCATCTCCATCTTTCCTCAGTGCCACAGCCCTGTTTCTGCTGTTATTTTCTGAATTTCTATTTTGTACGGTAGAATTTTGTTTTTGTTTTTTTTTTAATTTTTATTTGCTTTTCCGGTTTGGTTGTTCAGGGGATCCTAGAAACCCATGCAGCGATCAAGTTCAGAGAGGCGACTAGGAATGAAGTGATGTTTTCCTGCTTTCCATAGAGAGAATTTTTCTTTTGCTATTTCTTCCCTTACTGAGGCGAGGGCAGCAACTTTAGAAGGAGGAACAGTTCTGTTCAACTAGAGACAGGAAAATATGTTTTCATATTGAGCAGTGCACACGTGTGAGCATGAGCGTGGCGGAAGTGTTTATCTCACTCCCCTGCGAAAACTGGCCTTCTTAGATAAGACATTATAGGCAGTGATCCAATTATAAGTTTCTGAAAGCAACATGCAACTTAATGACGTCTACTTACTGCAAAAATATGATAGTGACATTACCTCTACCTACTATACTTTAAAATTGACCCTTTTTAGTTTTGTTAAATACATGAACACTTTGAAATATTGCTTGTTTACATAGGTGTGTGTGCAAAGATTGTGTGCAGAAGGAGCTAGTTTGCCCATAAATCCCTGTGATGATCGAGGTCCCTCATTTAAAGGCTTCTCTCTAAGCCTTTAAGACAGTCGAAATGAAAGGTGGAGTTTTGAATAAAATGGAAAGATGCTCTGGGGAACTAGCCCCAAAGGTGGGTGCTTTGCAAGTTATTTACATGTTCCCCCAGTTTGTTTATTTTTTTTAACTCCTCATAGCTCACAAACTAAGCCACATACAGCCTTGCTTTTCACAGTCCCTGAGTTCCGTGGGTGTGGTCTCAATGCCTACGAATGGAAGCGGAAAGACGACGTGAGAGGCCCAGATACTATTCTTCCTTCCACATGGCCCTCCCTGAGCACACTGCTGGGAGTAGCCACCTGATCTCTGCTGGGGCTGGCCATATAAATTAAAAACAAACAGAAAAGAATTAAGCCATGAGAAAAAAAAGAAAGATAGTCCTGAGCTTCATATATGGTATCCATTGGACCTCTGGGTTTTCCGCTGCTTCAGTGGTCCCGTGACAGCTGCTGCCGTTCAGGATGGGGAATCCAGCCCGAGGCTGCCCCAGAATGACCTCTGTGGCCTTTTCCCATCCTTGTCAGCAGTAGGGGTGGGAGCTGGCCTCCCACACACTGGCACCTGAGCGTGGGAGCCGGCTGCAGGCTCCCTCGGACACTGCACTGTGTTCTCACCCGCAGAACTGATGTGTTGCGAGGAACTGCATTCCATACTGCACCTGGTGCTGCAGGCCGGCAACATCATGAACGCGGTGAGTGGGCTCAGGAGGGCCTCCATTCGCAACTGTGTCTGAAGCTCCATGCAGATCTCTTTATTTTTGCTTTTCTTTGATTTGCTTTCCTTAGGGAGGATATGCCGGCAATGCGGTAGGATTTAAACTGTCATCTTTGCTCAAATTGGCGGACACCAAAGCCAACAAGCCCGGCATGAACCTTTTGCACTTTGTCGCTCAGGTCTGTGGCGGGGCTTAATGGAGAGAGAGAATTGGTGGGCGGTCGAGGGGGGGGTGTGGGAGTGGTGGTGGGGAATCAGAGAAGGTTCAGAGCAGGACCAGGCTTAAGAAAGTTGGCAGAAGCACACACACACACACACACACACACACACACACACACACACACACACACACTTTGCAAATTCCTGAGCTGAGCTGCTCCTGGGGTTAGAGGATTGGTGGGAAGCCGAGGGGCTGGGGAACCCGCTTACCGAGGATTCCAGGCCTAAAGCTGGGGATTTGCGGTGCAGGCTCTTGCCAGGGGGCTGCCAGCTGAACTTTGTGGCATTGGGCAGGACTGCCGCGTTTGTTTTGTGTTGAGGACTAGAAGGCCATGTGGAAGCTGGACTGGAGAGTGAGATATGGGGATCACTCCGGGTGGCCGTGGGCTTACCTTGTTTGGAGAAGGGGAGACGATGGAGGCGGAGACTTTCGCTCCTCAGTGGCTTGCATCTGGCCGGTTGCATGCAGAGAGTCAGAGCAATAAGGATCGCCCTGTCACTGTTCCCAGAGAACCGAGGGCTGGGGGTCGAGCAGTGGAACCAGTGTGCAAGATGGGGCCTTTTCTTTATTGCTGGTGCTTCTCTACACCAGTGGCTTAATCTCGGGATGCCCCATTTCCTGTTTAAAAAAGCAACAACAGGGGCTGTTTAAAAAGCGATAGTACAGCGGGTAGTAGGGCGTTTGCCTTGCACATGGCCGGGTTTGATCCCCGGCATCCCATATGACCATGATATAGCCATTGCATCTCAGTAAACCCTGAGCTTACTGGGTCTGTCCCCAAAAGCAAAAAAGAATAAATTTTTTTAAAAAAAGCGACAACAGGTGCCAGAGCAATAGTACAGCAGGTAGGGCTCTGACCCAGGTTCAATCTCAGGCATCCCAAATGGTGTCCTGAGCACCGCCAGGAGTGATCCCTGAGTGCAGAGCCACGAGTAAGCCCCAAGCAACTCGAGGTGAGGCCAAAAATATGAAAAAAACCCATATATATGCATATATATGTATATGTATATACATATATGTATGATTATATATGCATATATATATAATTTTAAAAAGGGATAATGAGCACTGGAGAGATAGTCCAGGAAGTAAGGCCCTTGCCTTGCATTCAGCCTCTTCTGTGGCAACCCTGGTTCTATTCTCAGCACCACAAACGGTCCCCGAGCAGGAGTGAACCCTGAGGAACCTTGAGCACAGAACCAGGACTAAACCCTGAGCCCCCAAGCCCAAAAATTAAAGCTTAAAATGATATTAGGAGTGACACTGTTTTCTAACATTCGAGATGCCTTGGTCACATGTCCTTATATGGCATTTGATTCTCCAGGGAAAGTCTTAATTTCCTCCTATTCCTTAAGATCTGCCTCTGGGATTGGATCCTCATGACCCTAACAAGCCCCTCGGTTCCCTTCCTTTTGTGTCACCCCTCACTGAAGACCCTCCTTTTCTTCCCAAAGTACTATCTCTCTGGCCCCAGATTTGTTGGGGACGGGGGCAGTGGGGGCAACACCCAGCAGTGATGAGGGATCACTCCTGGCTCTGTGCTCAGGGATCACTCCTGGTTCTGTGCTCAGGGTTCACTCCTGCTTCTGTGCTCAGGGATCACTCCTGGTTCTGTGCTCAGGGATCACTCCTGGTTCTGTGCTCAGGGATCACTCCTGGTTCTGTGCTCAGAAGACCTTATGTGGTCCTTGGGATCAAACCCACATGGGTTGTACACAAGGCTATACTGCCTCTCTAGGCACAATTTTCTTGTTGCTCCCCGACCCTTTGTTGTCGCTCTGGTGTGCATAGGCTGTTACGCATATGGTCCTCATACCGGGGATCATACTGTAGAGCCAGGGATGGTATTTGGTGGTGTGGGCCCTCCCACGCATGTCTTCAGAACACACCACTCTAGTGGTCTCCTGCTGAGCCACTTGGGCTTTGGGCAGTTCCTGCCCACTTTGTGTCTCAAGGTGCTGGGTGCACTCAGTCCGGCCACGCAGGGAAGTTCCCTAGGTTGGTTACTGCTGCCTCCCTCCTGCCTTCTCACATTCTCTGAGCAGGTGAAGAAGCTGAAAACCCCCGTGGCTCATGCACTTTCTGATTAAGCTCATTTTGCAAACTGGTTGAACTGGCCAAGGTATCTCTGTTATTTGAAGGCAGACCCACAGGTATGGGTGGTATTTAAGCAGAATATATGTGATTCTCTTAGCCACAATGGGCCTTGGTAAGCCAGCCACCTCCTTCCATTGAGTTTTTCTGTATCCTGTGTCAGGATCTGTTGCTCTGGGAAGTTAAATACACCTGAGAGTAAGGGATTTCTGGTAAATGTGACTAAGAATACTGGAGTTCACGGCTCAAGGAATGACACTGAATGTAACAAGCAGAAAAAATTAATGAGCCTGGTGATGATCAGGTTCCTTTAAAACTTAAGAAATGGATTGTCTTCCTGGGGTGAGAGAAATTTCTGGGTTTTTTTTTTTTTTTTTTTTTTGTTCTAGGAAGCCCAGAAGAAAGATGCTGTTCTTCTCAACTTTTCTGAGAACCTGCGTCACGTCCAGGAGGCTGCGAGGTACGCTGGGAGGCCTAGAGTGGGTGGTGAGGGGTCCCGTGTTCAAAACCCTCCTACACCACTCTGCAGACCGGGTCCCACCTTCTGGATTCGAGTCGAAACTTTGACCAGTTTTTCCCTCCTGATCTTTCAGAACTTCCTTTCATTTGCTTACAGAGAGAGAGAGAGAGAGAGAGAGAGAGAGAGAGAGAGTGTGTGTGTGTACGCGTGCGCATGTCTGTACACATATGTGCATGCCTTTGGAATTGAGAGGTTTTGAAAAACTAATCCTCCTCTTTATTTTTCCTTTAAATACTTTTGAAGTAAAATATATTTTTTCCAAGAAATGTATCTAGAGAAATATGAGGGGAGAGAGCAGAAGAGAGCTGTGTGTTCAAGAGAGAGCGTGGGCTTCTCCAGAGGGAGGGGAGAGTCGAAAAGATACAGGTGAGGTTGAGATACAGGCCAATTACCAGGGTGGGGAATGAGCCTAATCCTCACTTTTAATCTAAAAAGACTGATTGCAGTCTGTATTAATGAATATCATCAGTGTAAAAAATGCATACGGATTAAGAACTTCTAATCCCTCCACACCCAGCAGATAGAGTTCAAACAATGCAGCCAGTTGCCCTGGGAGTTGGTATCTATCAAGCTCTCCCAGCCATACATCACTGTTTCCTGGTAGAACCTAACATGGTACATTTATTTTCTATTGCATTAGGACTTGGAGCCTGGCCAAGGGCTGAGCGAGGATCTTGTTTTAAATTAGTCACTCGACTTCACAGAGAAAGTGAAGAGCTCCAGTTACATGCCTCGAGTCTGTTTCTGGTCCTAATATAGATGTGTGTTTTGTTGGCCTCTGACGGGTGCGATGTTGAGTTCTGTTTGCATTCATTTATTTGTTATTTTTTAATCAAGGGTGCTTCCCAGTGGTGCTCAGGGGCCCCGGGGCCACTCCACATGATACTTAGCCTGGCCCTTAGGGCCTGGCCATGTAGGGCTGCTTGAACCAGCAGGTCGATAGAGGGGGTGGAGGGAGTGGAGGGGATGGTGCTGGGGAGAGCACCAAGGCTATACCAGCAGGTTTCTGGGTGCCGTGTGGTCCTAAGACTCGAACTTGGGGCCTCACATATGCAAGGCATGCACTCCAGCCCATGTAAGCCCTCTCCCCAGCCCCTATTTTGAGTCTTCTTTTGAAATGTACCTGTGTCCAGTGGTAAGGGACAGTAATGTGCTATATTTGTACATTTGCTGGTTTCCAGCTTTTAGCAGAGTGTTACCAAATGCCGCAGGTTGAAAAAGAGATACCCCAAGCAGGCTTTTATGCACCCCCTCTATATCAGCCCAGTTCACATTCTAGGTTTATGATTTGAGTAACTATATCCATGTAGGGCAGCTCTGAGCCATTCATGTCTAAACACATGAATCATCGCTTTTTCACTCCAGCCCTGTCATTGGCCAGTAGCTCCCTGCTCCTGACTGTGGAAAGCTAACCACAGATTACATGTCTTTTCCGAAGTGAGATTATCAGTCCCAAGGTATGAACAGTTCCTAGATCATGTTTACAGATAGCCAGATTAGACCCCCCGAGAAGGATCCTCTTTCAAGATGCAGACGGCCAAGGCTGTGAATTACTGAACAAAATTTGTCTGAGAGTAGTTTCCCGCTGACTAACAGAAATGTCTGCAGAAGATGAGAGAGAGAGAGAGCATGACGCCATGCAACAGACACTCTGGCCAGATTACACCGGGGAAGTTTTGCTCCATATTAGCTTGGAAAAAGGCATATTCAGTAAGGTTTTGCTGTGTGTTTGGCACACTCTGTGATTCTCAGGGCTTACTCCTATCTCTGTACTCAGGCATCTCTCCTGGCAGTGCTTGGGGGACTATGTTTGGTGCCAGGGATTGACTGTGTGCAAGGCAAGTGCCTCAACCTCTGTCCTATCTCTCCAGCGCCAGTAAGGTTTGTTGTTGAGTTGAAATGAAAGACTGGGGCTGGAGCAATAGTACAGCAGGGTAGGGCATTTGCCTTGCATGCAGCTGACCCGGGTTTGATTCCCAGCATCCCATCTGGTCCCCTGAGCACCGCCAGGAGTGATTCCCGAGTGCAGAGCCAGGAATAACCCCTGTGCATCGCTGGGTGTGACCCAAAAGGCAAAAAAAAAAAAAAAAAAGGAAAGGCGAAGTATACTGGGAAGGACAAACAGGTACATCAGCTGGTGCCAACGTAGGTGGAAATGATTGTGCAATAGAACCATTAGAATGGAAAATTAGAATGGACTGTGTGGAAGCTGAGAACATCCTCAGTTAGGAATTTGCTTGTTGTATTCCACTTGGATTTTAGGTCTCTCCTCTTTGCTTTCCCAGGCAGCTGCCACATCATTTCACTGCATTTCTCTGAATCTCCACTGGGTGTAAGCCTGGCCACCCACCTTCCCTCCCCCGGCCGCGGCCCTGGCAGCCTGTGCGTTCTCCATGTGCTCACTGCGGCTCTGGCCGAGTGGGGAGGGCGGTGTGAAGTCTGTTCAGTGTCTCCGCGTCCCCCAGAGCATCAGGCTTGTCAGCCCGGGCTGCCTGGCTTTCCTTAAGCCGGAGCTTTTGAGTTTCTGTTCAAGTAGCCAGAGGAGACATAAAGTATCTGAGTCCTCCAGGCTGCTGTTCGTCTTGGAGCTCCACAGGGCAGTGCTTGGCCCACGGGTGCTAGTCTGTGGGGTCAGTGCTCTGGTGTGGCAGTGTGGTCCTGAGGGACCCCCAGGGCCATTCCCCAGCCAGGCGAGGGGAGGTGGCTCACATGGTGTCTGGGATCAAACTCGGGGTCTCGTGCATGCTGGGCCTGTCTCCCACCCTTTGAGCCACCACCCACCATCTTAAGACATCCGGGGTGCTCCGCCCTCATGCAGAAAAGCTTTACAAGGCCAGTGATCTCGCCCGCAAGAACAGCCCACAGCCAGCTCTCCGGCTTGTTTTGATTTTTAGTTTGGAGGCCGCACACGGTCGTTCCCAGCTCACTAGTTCCAGGGTTCCTATGGTGCCATCTGCAAAGACCACTGAGCTGTCTCAGCCCCAGCACACGCAGCCCACAGTGTGTGTTTGCACCAACACCACGAGCCTCTCAGGCCCCAGGGTGGATGCTCCTGTCCTGCCTCTGAGGCTGATGGGGGGCCTTGTGTGACACCTGGACCACTTGTCCACTCGCCCCTTTTTCCTTTTTTTGATTTATCACCGGCATTTCTCAGACCAGACTGAGGTAGATAAAAACTAGGTCTGAGCGCACACACGTGGTCTTGTCAGGGCGAATGTTTAGCCCATCCTGAGTATCACAGAATCAGAAAAGCGAGAATATTTGCAGTCGCCCCTTTCTTCCTACAGATTATCTCTGGATAACACTGAGGCCGAGCTGCACTCGCTGTCTGTCAGGACGAGATCTCTGAGGGAAAACATCCAGCATGATGGCGAACTTTGCCGGCAGATGGAAGATTTCCTTCAGGTCGGTGAATGATGCTAGCCCAGCCGTTGGGTTTCCCCTTCCAGCCACACCCCAGGCTGCTGGCACTTGCGCATGTGCATGTGTGTGTCTGTGTGTGTGCGTGTGTTTCTGTGTGTGTGTCTGTGTGTGTCTGTGTGGTCATCCCATATCTATCAGGGGAACCATGTTGGCCATTTTTCATGGGCTCACCAGAACCTAGACTTGAGGTGTCTGTGGAGACCCCCTGTTTTCCCTCCCTGCTGAGCCAAGTGATGCCCCCACTGCAGCAAATTGCCTCATGGCAGGCAAATCAGCTCAATTTGGGGCCCCTGCCCCAGATTGGGGCATTCCTGCCTCTCAGCCTGGCAGAATGAAGCTCTGTGGAAACTGGCCAGGTACCTCAGCCCCCCCACCATGGGCCATTCAGCAGGCACAGAATGGTGGTGTCCATGCACACCCTGAGCCCAGCAGCCCCGCAGGGCGTGTCAGGAGGCTCAGAATAATCTCCCCGGAAAACAGCCAAGTGCAGTGGTTGGTGACAGCTCACCGTGACTCATCATCACTCGTCTGACAGGACCCTTCCATCGGCCTCATTAAAAAAAAAAAGTGGCACCTTATCAGGCTTCGGTGGAAGATGGGCTGTGACCTGAGATGGGCCAGATTGGGGTCCAGGGGAGCCAGGCCAGGGCCCCGTGGAGGCACCCCCCATGCTTGGCTTCTTGTCAAGCTCTGTAGCTGTGTAGGCGCTCTGGCGGCCGTCAGCTGATGCCAGATTTGGTTCGGCTCTGCTGTCTTCTTTTTTTCTTTTTAATAATGGGTGTTCTGGTACTCGGTTCCAAATATAACCCAGCCCGAGTTTTCACCTTGGAAGTGCTCAGAATTCCCTCTGAGCAAGACAGCCCGGCAGACACCCCCACAGGAACGCTCCTAGTAAGGAAGCCCTCGGCCGGCAGCATGCGCCGGCAGCTGACGTCAAGCCAGACTCGGGAAAAGCCCAGTGCGTGCCGGATTAGAATCCTGGACGATGCACCCCTGCTTCTGGCGTTCAATGCCAATACCTTCTGCTGAACTAGAGTGCTGGGAGGTGGACGGTGAAAAGCAGCTTGCCTTAAGCCCTACTTTGGCAATATTTTGTATTTTGTTTTGGTTTTGGCTTTTGGGGTCACAGCAGTGATGCTCAGGGGTTACTCCTGGCTCTGTACTCAGGAATTAACTGCTGGCATTGCTTGGGGAACCATATAGGATGCCAGGTCAGAGGCATGCAAGGCAAATGCCCTATCTGCTGTACTATCACTCCAGCCGCTTTATATTTTGTTTTGGTTTTGGTGCTCCACCCGGAGATGCTCAGATCTTATGCCTGGCTCTGCACTCAGGAAATACCCTTGGCAGTGCAAGGGGGACTATATGGGATGTCGGGGATCAAACCCACGTTAGCCATTTGCAAGGCAAACTCCCCGCTGTACTATCTCTCTGGCCCCCTAATTTAAAACTTTGATCTGCAAACTCTTTTTTCTGATATTTAAAACATAATTTGGAGCTAGAGTGGAGAGGGTGTTTGCCTTGCATGCAGCCAACCTGGTTCAATCCTCAGCACTTTCAGGAGTCATTCCTGAGTATAGAGCCAGGAGCAACCCCTGAGCATCACCGGGTGTGACCCCCAACCCCCCCAAAAAAACCCCATTATTTATTTATTTATTTATTTATTTTTGCTTTTTGTGTTACACCCAGCAATGCACAGAGGTTACTCCTGGCTCTGCACTCAGAAGTTACTCCTGGCTGTGCTCAGGGGACCATATGGGATGCTGGGAATTGAACCTGGGTCAGCCTCGTGCAAGGCAAACACCCTACCCGCTGTGCTATCTCTCCAGCTCCCCCCATAATTTATTATTATTATTATTGTTGTTGTTGTTGTTGTTGTTGTTATTACTTGGGGCGGCTTTTTTCCCTTTTCCTTCGTGGTGCCAAATACTGAGCCCGAGCCTCACAGGCAGAGCTGGGGCTCCACCTCTCCACCACCCTCCTGCTGGCCACTGTTTGCTCTGTGAATAAGATGTCCCATGCAGCTATTTTCATTTCCATTTTATTCAGGGGTAGGGTATGGGGCCATGCCAGCAGTGTTCGGAGGTTAATCTTGGCTCTGTGTGTAGGGGGTACACCCAGAGGTGCTCAGGGAGCATGCCTTGAGCATTGGGGATGTCCCAGTGCCACCAGCATCTACTCTGGTCCCCCAGAATTTTCTTTTTCAAGTAGAGTCTGTCTTCTCCTTTCCCTTGGTTGAACTCGCTTGACTGCTGTACTAGGTACCATGGATAGAACCCAAAGCCTCATGTGTGCAGGGCAGGGACCCTACCACTGACCATTTCCCATTCAGTGCTCAGGAGCCCAGGGGCTACTCCCAGCAGAACTTGGTCAACCAGGCCAATGGTTCGATGCTCGGGCCCAGCGGTGCTACAGCCCACCGGTGCAGTGCTCAGGGGACGTCTCTAAGGCTACACCCATCAGTGTTCTGGAGACCATGAGGTGCCGGGTATTGAACACAGGGTCTTGTGCATGCAAGGAACACATCCCTGACCACTAAGCAGTCTCCCGGTTCTAGAACACAATTTATTTTTAAAGCAGTGTAGCTCAGGCCCTGAAGCTTCTGAGTATCTGTCTGAGAACTTGAGATTTGGCTCTCTGAATTGAGGGGAACCGCTGAAAAATTCTGAGCTGAAAAGCAGAGTGCAGCTGACAGAGCTCTGTGAGATCAGGCCTCTGGCGCTGAGGATGCAGAGTCCTTTACAGCCCTGTTCTGCCACAGGCAAGAGAGACATACAGAGCTGGAGCAATAGCACAGCAGGTAGGGCATTTGCCTTGCACGCAGCCAACCCAGGTTCGATTCCCAGCATCCCGTATGGTTCCCTGAGCACCTCCAGGAGTAATTCCTCAGTGCAGAGCCAAGAGTAACCCCTGTACATCGCCAGGTGTGACCCAAAAAGCAAAAAAAAAAAAAAAAGAGGGACACAGAAGCAGAATGGTTCGTACCACTGCTGACCTGGTGTCAGTCATACTCCAGAGTTTTCCGTTGCTGGCCCTGGTGTTGTGGGAAGGCTGAAGAATCATGATGATGAGAACCTGATGAGCCACCCGGAGCAGGGCTGTTCTTCAGTTCCTTTCCCCATTCAGAGTATTTCCTTTTCCCGAGTGCTGCAGGTGACGGCCGAGCATGGACACGTGTCTTCCGGCTGTCTCTGAGCCCCACCGATCTCGAGATGAGACATCCAAGGAAGGTGGAGTTAAGTGCCCATGTAGATTCTTGTCAAGAGTCCTGTTTTCCTGCATGGAGCTGTTCTTGGCTGGAATCCATCCCCCCAGTGAAAGAATGACAGGCCGCGATTTATCCTTTCATTAATACTCTTCTCTCCCTGAAAGAAAACACGGTGTGAAGGCACACGGCGCCTCGGGCCCCTGACTCACGGGCTTACTTTCTCCGGCATTTGGTTCCCTGAATAGTTTTGCTTCCTGACTGTCTGTCAGAGTATTTGGTCTCTGGAAACGGGGAGAATGTCAGGAGAGAGTGGGAGGGGCCCATCTTCTTTAAACTTTAATGAATTAGTTATCTTTTGGATTTAGGGCCACCCCCAGGACTTACTCCTGGCTTTGTGCTCCGGCTCATTCCTGCGGTGCTCAGGGGACCCTGTCGGGTGCTGGGGACTAAACAGAGTCAGCTGCATGCAAACAAATGCCTTAACCCCTGTCCTATTTCTGTGGCCCATCAGACTTTCTCTTCAGGTTCTGGGGCTCTCCATGGATATTCCAGCCACAGTGCCATTCCTTAAAGGAAGGAATCGCCCCCCTCCACGATTCCTAGCCCTCACTCCATAAAAAAAGATTCTCAAATGTCAGCAGCTGGGAAAACCTCCTGCTCTGCGCAGGGAACTGCTGCATCCCTTCCTTCTCGGGAAAAGGCAAACCAGGGGACAGCAACTTGGTTCAGGGGCTCCAGTTTTGTGGCTCACCATGCTGCTGCCACCTCACTTCCGCTCACCACTGAACGCCACTGAGTAGAACCGGTGTCTGGGCCCAGCCTGAAAGGGTTGGGCACTCTTTTTTTTTTTCCTTTTTGGGTCACACCTGGCAATGCACAGGGGTTACTCCTGGATCTGCACTCAGGGGTCACTCCTGGTGGTGCTCAGGGAACCATATGGGATGCCGGGAATCGAACCCGCGTGCAAGGCAAATGCCCTACCTGCTGTGCTATCGCTCCAGCCCAGGGTTGGGCACTCTTGGTGTTTCTTGGGAGAAGCACTCGAGTCCTTTCTCCCCACTTCTTGGGAGGCTGTTTTAGAAGATTCAGAGGCCATCAGGGAAGGAGCTCTGAAGATGGGCTCCTTCCTGCCATTGTGGTCCATCGGGCTCTGCTGGGGAGATCTGATAAGATTTAAACTGTTCATGGAATTTCAAATTCAGTTATAAATGTGAAGGGTTTTGGTGGGGGTAGAGGACGCAGAGAGATAGTGTAGATGGTAAGGAGCTTGCCTTGCACATGTCTAACCTGGGATTATCTCCTAAGTCCTGTCAGGAGTGAATCTTGAGCACAGAGTCAAGAGTAAGCCCCGAGCACCACCAGGTAGGACCCAACACCCCCACTCAATTTTAAGATTTTAATAAAAGGGGGATGCTAGGTTCGCCCCATACATAGGTGGGCTTCAGCACTGGTGTCAGCCCAGCTCCCAGTGGACTTGGATGAGTCCCCCGTGACAAGCAGGTCTGTGGGGGTCTTCCCTAGGCACAGTGGGTTGTGGGGGTACAACATGGCTCCTGTGGGACTAGGTTTCTAAGCCTCTGCCAGGGCCTGTGGCTGACCCCCCATGTCAGCTCTTGGCCAGTGTGAGACTTGGTTCAAGACAAAGAAAATCAAGGCTGGAGCAATAGTGCAATAGTACAGCGGGTTGGGCATTTGCCTTGCACGTGGCCAACCCAGGTTTGACTCCCAGCTTCCCATATGGTCCCCCGAGTACCATCAGGAGTAACTTCTGAGTGCAAAGCCAGGAGTAACCCCTGAGCATCTCTGGGTGTGACCAAAAAACAAATCACGGTCACGGTCCTCCCGTTGTTCATCGATTTGCTCTAGCGGGCCCAGTAACGTCTCCATCATGAGACTTGTTGTTACTGTGTTTGGCATATCGAGTACGACCAAACCAAAAAAAAAAAAAATCAGATGAGGGTGAATTGGGGCTGGACCCCTTCCTTCATAGACCAGACCTGGGCTGGAGAGATAGGACCGGTCTTAGGGGCTTGCCGTGCATATTTCTGGCCCTAGTTTGAGTCTCTGGCACCAATAGAATCCCCAGATCCTGGCTAGGTGACACCCTTGAGCATGGAGCCAGGAATAGCCCAGCTCACTACCAGGTAAGGTGACCCAAACTGGCCCAAGTGTGCATCCTCGGTCCTGTGAAGGTAGGGGTCTGGCAAGTCCTGGCTCTCCAGGCCCCGCACAGAAGTCCACCTCACCTCACACCCTGCAGTTTTGTCTGGTAGTGGGGATTATTTTCTTTTTGGCTCCAAATGTGCAGGGCTTTTCTGGAACTTTCCCTTTCCTGAGGGAGCCCCAGAATACACATGCTCAGAGCCCCAGTGAGTCTCCTCGGTGGTTTGCGTGGTCTAACGCTGCCCACACTCTCCCGTAGTTCGCCACAGAGAAGCTGAGAGAGCTGGAGCAGTGGCAACAGCAGCTGCACGATGAGGCCCACACCCTCATTGACTTCTTCTGTGAAGACAAGGAGACCATGAAGCTGGACGAGTGCCTTCAGATCTTTCACGACTTCTGCCTCAAATTCAACAAAGCAGTGAAGGTATGGCTGGCACGTTCCTCCTTCCTCCAGCCCTGGAGGAGAAACGCTCAATCTCTGGGCAGTCTTGTGAAATTCTGGCCCTGGGAGCACTGCCAGACAGTGCTGGGATGGTGGGGAAGTCCCCTAACCCCACCCCACCCCCGAGCACTTCGTCTGTTCCTACCTGCCTCACTAGCAAAGTCTACTCAGGAGGGCAGGCACCAGATACAGTCCTCTCCAAAGACCCCCAAAGGTCTCCCCCCACCATGCCCCCACAAGAGGATTTTCTCTTTCAAGGTCTACAGTGCCTCTGTCTCTTCTTTGCGCACCAGGTGACTGGCGCCTGGGAAGCCATTTTGTTCTTGGCCAGAGCAGCTCACCCTGCATTTAAGCATCGATGCTGGGTGCACACAGCAGCCCTTGTTCTTGCCCTATAGCCTCCGAGTTTTAATCGGCTCTGAGGTCAGTGCCGCAGCCAGAAAACTTTCTGGTTTTGGCTTTGCACCCAGAACTCACCCGTCCATTAAGAAGCAGATAACAGGACCGGGAGAATTAGTCCAGGGGTTAGAACGCTCAGTCATGTGACGTAGCAGGGTTCCTCTGGAGCCCGGCATCCCGCGGGGCCATCAGCATCACGGTGACCCTGTGGGCTGGGTGCTCCATGGTCCACGCAGCACCCCTGGGCCCTGCTGTTGAGCCGGCAGTCTGATTGACTGAATATCATGGGGGCAGCCCCGGGGAAGATTCTCCCCTCCACCACCCACCACCGCCCCCCCCCCCCCCGAAAGAACAACAAACCACTTGCACATCCCTCGGGTGGTGATGAAGAACCACATACTTCAGCACATTCCTTCCCTCTGCCTTATGATGAATTGGTTGATTGATTTTTATTGTGTGGGGGCCACACCCAGTGTCTCTGGGGGGGCAGGGGTGCCTGGGATCCAGCCCGGGCCTGAACCGCTGTCCCAGGCCTTCTTCCTTCCCTCCCTGCGCCCCATCCTGTTGCAGAGGAAGTTTTCTCCACGGCCCGGTTTCTGGGGGGGACCGGCAGGCTTTCTCTGGGCTTCCCTCACTCAACAGCGGAGAGCAGGCCGGGCCAGGCCACGTTCCCGCTTCTGCGTCCAAGCAATGAGCTCAGCTGCGGGCGGCGGGGGAGGTGGCGGCAGCCCAGTTGGCGTTCTGAGGAGTCACTCCCTGGGAGGAATTTCTGGGCACTCAGAGCCACCTGGGCGATGCGCTCAGCCTGGCTGTGCTGTGGCCTTGGAGAGGCCTCTGCACCCTCTCAGGAAGCCTGGGGATGAAGTGGCCTCAGGGATCTGGTGGTGGTGGTGGTGGTGGTGGTGTGTGTGTGGGGGGTCAATGCTGTCCTCGGCCAGAGCCTGGAAACTTGGAGGGGAAGGCGGCATTTGCAGGTCTGAGCTGGGAGAGCCCTGTGTACTCACTGCAGAGCTTTCAAAGGATACAGACAGGCCACATAGACACACAGCTGCCCGGCGCAGGCCTTGCGTGCCCTAGACCCGGGTTCGGTTCCCAGCATGGCCAGGTACGGCCCTGGGAGCAGCACCCCGTCCTCAGACCCATAAGCGGAATGGACGGCCCAGTGGCAGAGCTGCTGATGAGTTCCCAGGACCTCCCGAGCACTGCTTGGGAGCCCCCTAGTAAAGAAAGCATATAACCAGGCAGCAAATAAGGCACTTCTGGTGGGAGATGGGGATTGGTGGGGGGGGCGGGGGGGAAGGGAACGGTTGGGCTCTTCCCTGGAGTCCAGCTCTGCTGGGTGAAATAGTCCATTCCCCAAATCCCTTCCAACTTGGAGACCAGCTTGGGGTTTGAGTTCTCATTTTGGGCCTACGGAGGCTTATCGTCCACAGAGTGGACAGAGCTCTGGCTAGACAGATGGAGGTTGGGTCATAGGTCTGCGGACAGTCTTGGAGCAAATGTGGGCCAGACATACTGTGTTCCAGTCACATTACCCCAACACACACATACACATGTGCACACATTACTCATGTACACATATACACATGTACACATTCACATAGGCATGCATGCAGACATACACGCATGTACACATACACATGGTCAAATACACCCACATATAGATGTATACTCACGTACACATATACACATGCATGCAAATGCATATGCGTGTGCCTATGACACATTTTACACATACGTATGCATATGCATTTACAGAGACAAGGGTACTCATGTATACGTAGGCATACACAGTAAGTGCATATATACACATACATACACACACATGCGTACACTCACAGTACAAATACACGCATCCATGCACGTGTATACACTCACACAGACGCTCAGGCAGCAGCTGAGCAGAGCTCAGAAGCCCATCATTGAGTGTGTCCAGGTGCCCAGTGGCTCACGAACCCCCCCCCCCCCCCCCCGTGTCCCTCCCACTCCCTGCAGGACAACCACAACCGGCAGGTGCAGGAGCGGCGGCAGCAGCAGCGGCTCCAGGAGCTGGAGCAGAAGCGCCGGTCGTGGGCGGCGGGGGAGCTGGGGGGCTTCGGCCGCAGCAGCAGCGAGAACGACGTGGAGTTGCTGAGCAAGCGGGGCGCCGAGGACCTGCCCTCCTTCCTGAACCCCAGGCCCGTCAGCCCCTCCTACCGACCCCCCAACACCCGCCGCTCCCGCCTCTCTCTGGGTACCTCGGCCGACCGCGAGCTGCTGACGTTCCTGGAGAGCTCCACGGGCAGTGGCGGGGGCGGCGGGGACGGCAGCCCCGAGGAGCTCAAGTTCAACAGCCTCCCCAGGAGCAGCCCGAGGCAGCCCCGGCCCACGGTGGCCTGGATGGAGCCGGCTCCGTCCAGCGCCCCTGACGCCAGGGCCGCCCCGGGTAGTCAGCAGGAGACCCCCGACCCACCCACAGCCTGGCGGAGCCACCCGCCTGCCCCGGACCCTGGGGACGCCCCTTGGTCCTTCCCCAAGGCCCGGCGAGGGGGCACCAGCGTCCTGCGGAAGAGGAACAGCGAGCCCGTGGGCCTGGGCCCCGCGCGGTCAACGCCGCCCCTGTCCCCTCTGACCGTGGGCATCGAGGAGCGCGAGCTGGTGACCGGACTGGCCCAGTTTGAGCTCCAGAGTGCCAAGGGCGCAGAGGAGCCCGCCCCGCCGAATCCCAGTACCTCCTGCCCCACAGAGCTGGGCGCCCGCGTGGAGGGGGTGCCGCCTTCCCTGGGTGCCACCGCGGACAACCTGAGGCCTGGGGATCGCACAAGAGAGCCCAGCCCAGACCTGGAGGAGGACAGCAGGGTCCCGGAGGAGCCCAGCGGGCTCTCCGCGGGCAGCAGTGACCCCGAGAATAAAGACGCGGGGCGGCTCTTCTGCATCTCCGACGCCACCGACTGCTCGCTGACGCTGGACTATTCCGAGGGCACGGACAGCAGGCCCGAAGGCGAGGACCCAGGAGGCGACGAGGGCCAGGGGGATACCCCGGCACCCACCGAGACCCCTGTCTCCAGCCCCGCGCGGGAGGCCCCGGCGCCGGGCCCCAGGAAAAGCGAGCCCAGCGGCAGAGGGGGCCTGGGCAGGGACAGGCTGGCCAAAGGCAAGGACACGCTGGCGCCCAAGAGAAACTCCCTCAAGGAGACGCCCCCGGGGGCCCCCAAGGCCACAGGGATCGCACGTCGGAGCCAGGCTGCGGCGACACCCCGGCCCGGGCCCGCGCGGCCAGCAAGCGCAGCCGTGCGCACCTTGACGGCGTCGGAGAACGAGAGCATGCGCAAGGTCGTGCCCATCTCGCGTTCCAACCGGGCCGCGGGGGGCTGGAAGCGGCCGCCCCGGGAGTCCCCCAGCACCTCGGAGCCCGCCTGGGTGCGCCGCAGCTCTGTGAAGGGCACCTCGGACACGTCGCCCCGCAGACCCTCGACGGGCGGCACGGCCGAGGAGCCCCGGCTCCAGCGCGCCAGCGGCTCAGTCAGCTCGCGGCCCAGCAAGGAGTCGTCCACACTGCAGGCCCGCAGCTCCTTGCGGAAACCCAGCGCCAAACCCCTGCGCAACCTGCCCCGGGCAAACCAGAAACCCGACGAGAATAAGATCTGTAGGTCCAACTCCCAGGAGGGCCCCGAAGAGGAGCCCAAGACGCCGCCACCCCCCGCTCCCAGTGTCCCGCGCGCCCCCGCCACGGTGCCCAACTTCGCCCGCAACACGGTGGCCTCATCATCGCGGTGCATGAAAACCGACACCCCGCCAGTGGCCAGGGCGCCGGGCCTTACCCGGACAGTCTCCCAGCGGCAGCTGAGGATGAAGGGTGCGCCCGAGGACACCTCCCCAAAGGACAGCGGCGCCCTGCGGCGTGCCAGCAGCGCGCGGTCCCCCAAGAAGAGCGCGGAGTCAGCCGTGGAGGGACCCGGGTCGACCTCGGAGGCCTCCCCGAAGGGCAGAGCGGCTGGGGAGAGGGGTTCCCTCAGGCTTAGGGACGCGCATCAGCGGACCGCTCTGGGGAAAATCCTCAACCCCCTACGGAAGTAACGGGGAAGTAGGGTGCAGCCTTTTTTGCCTTTCAGGGGTTCCACTGCGGACAGTTGACAGCTGTAAGAGGTCATCACCCAGGCGTCTGTGAGCCCGTACCCCGGTGGCACCTTTGTAGACTCAGTGCAGTGAGGTTCCAGCCGCTGTCAGTACCCCAAATCCGGGAAGTTCAGTGAGGCTGTGATGGCCTCACACTCGCTCTTCTCCAGTGCCACTCCCATACATCACGGTCACTGTCACTGTCCTCCCGTTGTTCATCAATTTGCTTGAGCGGGCCCAGTAACATTATGAGACTTGTTGTGTTTGGCATATTGAATACATCATGGGTAGCTTGCCAGGCTTTGCCGTGGGGGGGGGGGGGGGGGGAGAGATACTCTCGGTAGCTTGCTGGGCTCTCCGAGAGGGGCGGAGGAATCGAACTCGGGTCAGCTGTGTAGTGGCATTGGCTGCATGCAAGGCAAATGCCCTACCTGCTGTGCTATCACTCCAGACCCCCCCCATACATACACCCACAAAACACAGCCCAGAGAGACGGCTATCTTAGAGTCCCCGACTGTGGCCAGTGTTTAGAGACCAAAGACTTACGTTTTTTCATATAAAAATGAAATGTTTTCATCGGTTCCTTTTGCAAAGTGAAATGCCTCCCAGGAAAAAAACAAAAAGTGGGGTGCAAAGTCCTGATGTCAGGGAGTTCCCTTCCTCCTTCTGTGGGCCCTGGCCGGGGGGGGGGGGGTGCCTGCTCATGCTCCCTCTATGGCTGGCATCTGGACACCCCCAGTACCCGCCGGCAGCTGCCTTAGCTCATCTGTGTTCACTGGCCTTTTGGAGAGGAAGTTACCCGAGGGGCGGGGGCTGTGGGCTCACAGGGAAGCCCTGGCTGGTGTTTGGTCTTCCTGGAAGTGTCATCCTTGGATGCCAGGCCCCTGGCACTGTCCCCTGCACTCCTGTTGTCTGGGACTCTGTGTCAGGTCCCCAGAGTAGAGAAAGCCCAGGCACGCTACCTCCTCTCTCAGCTGCTCACACCTCCCATTGGCTTTCTCAACAAAACTTGGAGCCTGGAATCAGCCTCTCAGGATCGCTTAAATGTTCACGTTTGGGTTTTTTCAATCCCGAGAAAATCGAGTTAAAAAAAAGTATCACTCCTAGCATACCTCCAGGCAGTTCCTCTCCAAAGGATTTATAGCATCCTGGAGAAATGGGGAAAAGTTTTTTTTTCAAAGGGGGATTGTGTGTGTGGGGGGGGGGGGGGGGGGGGAGAGACATACTGTTCCTCCCCTGGGCCCTCCCCTTCCACCTCTTCCTTCCAGAGAGAAATTTGGGGAAAGAGTGAAGGAATTCTTGAAAACATTATTTTAAATGCCCCTTTTTTTTTTGTCTTGGCTGCTCCTTAGTGAAACATCTTGCTGTTCGTTAGTTGTGCGGTGCCGGGCATGGAACCCAGGCCTCACACATGCAAGGCAAGTTCCCTTCCACGGTTCTCACCCTCCCGTTACAGTCCACGGGGGCAGATGGCCCTCAGCCAGCATGTTAACCTAAGCCTCCTTTCTGCCACCCCAGTTTATTGGATGTCCCGGGCTTCTACCTGGCAGCTAAGTTAGCCCCGCGGACTGCAGTGTTAAATCAGGGCCCATACGGACTGGGGTAGGAGAAAGAAGCCGAAAGTTGGCATTTGTAGGCAGCCGAGGGCCAGGTAGCTTAGTACCAGGTGCTTGCCCCTCCCTGACACTGTGACTTAAGCAGGGCCGCCCTCTCCTCTCAGCCTGCCTCCCCACCGACAAGAGAGGGGACCTAGCTCCTCCTTGCTCCGAGTGGTAACTAAGTAGGGGCCACTGAGTTTCCTGGAGAAGGAGCTCGGGAGAAGGGGCCGCTGTGCAACCGTCAGCTGGAACGTTTCTCCACTCAGCCCACGTCCTGTGTATGCATCTGTGCGAGCAGGTGATCATTCTATTACCTTTTATTGGTAGTAAGCTTGGAAAAATAATTTAAGTATATAAAAAAAAGTGTAAATACGTTTCTATATGAATTTGTTTAAGATGAACTGAATGTATTTAAAGGCCCATTTATATGTTCTTTTATGCAACATGTAGTTTAATAAAGTTCCTGTTTATGGGAGTTGCACTTTATTGGCTGTTTCTCGTGTGTGTGTGTGTGTGTGTGAGAGAGAGAGAGAGAGAGAGAGAGAGAGAGAGAGAGAGAGAGAGAGAGAGAGAGACTGGCAGGGGTCAGCAGTTTTCTGCAGAATGAAGTCGAATGCAGAAAAATGCAGAAAATTCAAGAGGATTGGGACACAGTCATCATGTCCTCAGAAAGTTCTAGAACCAATATGCTGCTGCTGGTGTGTGTGTATGTGTGTGTGTGTGTGTGTGTTTTCCTAAGGAGCAGGCTAGTGGGGGCCCAAGTGGGCTGCTGGTAGCTGGCCATGGCCACAGTGCCAGCCCTCCGACAGCCTCTATTCCATGCTTGGGGCCAAGCGTGGCGCCATCTCCGCGGGGCGGGCAAGTCTGGATCTGCTTCGATATGTCCTCAGGTTTTGGCTCGGGGCACGGTTGGGAAATCGACTCACCTCTGCGGCTGCGGGAGGAATGAGCGGGTGAGGGGTGGGGCTCATTGGCAGGGTGCAGGGGGTGCCATTCGGGAAGAAAGGGCCCTTGTGAGGAAAGTACACCCCCAAGGAGGAGGGGGCAGCGCCCAGACTCTGACCCGCCCACTCTCCTGCCTCTGGACTTGGGTCAGGGGAGACCCCCGAGTCTGCCCCAGCAAACGAGGCAGTAGCCAATGCCCCTGTTAAGTGGCTGGTGGTCTCAGGGACACTCTGCAAGACTGTGACTGTGACATCTGTAGCTGGGCACAGTGGACCCTCCTGTACCTTCATCCCTTTCTGTGAGGGCCCAGGGGGAAAGGAAAAGAGGCTTTCTTATTCTCCTGGTGGAGCAGTGCCTCTCTCTCTCTCTCTCTCTCTCTCTCTCTCTCTCTCTCTCTCTCTCTCTCTCTCTCTCTCATACACACACACTCTCTCTCCCTCTCCCTCCGCATCTCTCTCCCATCTCCCCTCTCTTCATCTATCTATCTATCTACCTACTTATCTCTCCACCTATCTTCCCATCTACCTACCGACTTACTCACCCACCCACCGCCCTCCCACCTACCCATCCATCCCATTGATTCATTCATGATTTATTCATCATGATGTCAGGGATCAAACTCAGCCTCACCTTTGCCAGGCCTGAGTTTTACCCTTTTATGAGTTTCGCAAGGAACTCTGGGTTCTAGTCTTCCTTCCCAAGAAACACACGGGGCGTGAAGGAACCACAACTGTCTTTTTGTTCATTCCAGACTCGGTGTGCCGGAGGCATCACTGTGGCCCTTGGGGGCTCTGAGGGGCCGTGTCCCTCTCTCCTCCTCTAGCTCACCAGCGCCCAGAAGAGATCTCTGCAGTTCGTGTCCCCAAACACACGTACACATTAACACATAAAACAGTGTTGTGCCCCCATCCACCGTGTGCTGGAGATGGACCCAGGGGCTCATTAGTGCACCAGGCAAGTGCTCAGCTGCTGGGCTGGACTTCCGGCCACTGCGAGTACTTAAAGTTACTTGGGCCATGAGCACAAACAAGCGGGGGTCAAGTGGAGTGGGGGAGACAGAAAGTGGGGTGTCTAGTCTCTCCACTTAGCATGGGGCCTTGGCTGCATTGAAAACATAACCCAGAGCAGCCCTTCTGGGATGGAGGGTGGAGGTGGGGTGGGGTTCACCCACAAATATCCTCCAGGAATGTGTTCTGTGACTCCCCAATCACCCTGAGAAGACCAAGTGCCATCATGGGAGCTGAGGCGTGTCCACCAGCCCGCCAGGCCCCACGTTTGTGCCAGTTCTGGCTCCAGGCCGCTGGGCAGCGTCCCTGGACCCTCTCACAATCTGCTCATTCATGGCTCTGACCCAGACTGCCAGGAGCCTGGCACCCGGGAGCAGCAGCCCGAGAAGCAACTGCCCCCGCCAGGCTGAGGTCCCCATGGGCACCTTCAGGCTGGGCCTGGCCCACCTCCCTGGAGGTGTCCGGGGCTGAGTCACCAACTGCCCCTAATGCAAGGCGGGCAGCTCCTGCCCCTGTTGGCTGCCAACTAGACTTAAAGCATCAGCAGACACTTCCCCAGCCTCCTGCCCATTAGGAACCAGTTTGACCCAGTCCTGGCTGGACCAGAGCCCTGGGTCCGTGGACAAGGCTCCTTACAGCATGTTTCTAGAAGAAGAGTTGGGAACATCAGGCCCCAGCCAAGGTGCCGTCCCCAGGGCCCCATCATCCTCACCCTCTTTTGGGCCCATCCCCACCCCTCTCAGTCCCCGCCTGGGTCTGCTCTTCCCATCCCGGCAACAAGGGCCCCAGAAATTGGCTGACACCCCCACAGGATGCCCTGTTTCAGCTCCCTGAGGGCCAATGAGCAGATGGCTGCATTCATGGGGGCTGCCTTTGTGACCTTGGCCACAGGAATCTAACCAAGAATCCAGTGAGAGCCAAGTGCACCCCACCTCCACGCTGTGAGAGCGCCCCCCCCAACCCTGTCCCCAGTACTAGGATGCATCTAGGTGCTCCCTCCCTCCCACCCCCCAAAACCTGGGCTAAATCAGAATCTTGACAATGGGGCCCCTAATACTGCATGGAGGGAGAGAGAGAGAGAGAGGGAGGGAGGGAGGGAGGGATGAGGGAGGGAAGGAGGGAGGGAAAGAGAGAGGGAAGGAAAGAGAGGGAGAAGAGAGGGAGGGAGGGAGGGAGGGAGAAAGAGAAAGAGAGGAAAAGAGAGGGAGTGAGAGGGAAAGAGATAGGGGGAAGAGAGAGAGGAAGAGAGAGAAGGAAAGTCCCTTCCATAGAGGCAGGCTGGGGAGGAGGGTGTGGTGGGAGGGAAACTGGGGTGATTGTTGGTGGGAAATGGACATTGGTGGAGGGATGGGTGTCAGATCATTATATGACTGAAACCCAATCATGAACAGCTTTGTAACTGTGTATCTTA